TTTCGTCTGTCTGTGAACAACGTTAGCGGCTAAACCGTTCAGCTGATTTTATCCAAAACTGCTATTCCCGAATCGATCTGACTGATGACATGGCCTCTTGAATATGTAATCGATATTTTAATTTTAAGGAGTAGTTTATATAAAACGTCCTAGTCATTTTCCAAATTTTCAAAACATGGATTTGTTTTTCATGAAATTTTGTTGTTGGATAGTGTGAAGGACGTTTAAGAGAAAGGTGCAGATTTCATGTTTGTTAATAACCTTAATTTTTCGAAAACACCAAACGTTTTTTTTTCGGAGTCTTCCTACAACTAAAATATTGAAGATAGTTATTCATTTCCCTTCATGTAACCTGTTCCTTAAAGAATAATTTTGAAATAAGGTCATATACAATTTTTCGAAAATTTGAGTTATTTTCGTGTAATTTTGCGTGAAAATACGGACGAGAAAGTACGTACTGTTTTAGCATCACTAGTTTGTCTCCCTTTTTCATCACCCAATTTTTCGTTTAGTTATTTTGAAGTTTCTTACGCGTTTCCTTCGCAAGTAAGCCGCTGTTCGATCAGAGCTAGCGACGTCGCGGCTTCAGTCTGGAGGGAACGTTTCTCACTTTCCATTTCCGCCCGCGCCTCGAGTCATCGGCCTCCACCCTCCCCCTCCTTCTCCTCCTCCTCCTCCCCCTCCTCCTGACACCTTCGCCCGGCAGCGTCATTTCCCGTTCCAATGCTCCCCGATTGCCGGGGAAAGCTTCATTTAGGACAGGGATGCCTAACTGACAGACTGCCGTGTGTACATTTGTGGCCTTTGTCGAATGACCGCAGCTCATGGAAACAATTTTTAAGCTAATGAAAACTCGGTCACTATGCTCACATCTTCGTAAATGTGTTGGAACACAACAGTAACAAGTACCAACCAATATACATAGCAGTTGTCACAAACTACATTAGATTGAAGTTAATGAATTTATCAATGTTAAAAATATATTAATTTTACACATGAATTATGTCAATTGTAGTTCTTTTATTGTGGACGAAAATAATAATTCTAAAAAATTATTTAATATTTCTGACACTTATGTTAATATAATTAGTATGGGCCTAATTTTAATGAAATGTCTTTTTTACTATAGAACAATGCTCTTTAGTACAGAAATTAATTTTATTCAGTGACCAAAGGAAATTACCATTTTTATACGTCATGTTCTTGCATTTCAACAAACAAGACTTTTTTACATTTCTTATTATTTCATTGATTATAATATTTTAATGGTATTTGCTTCAAATGAGAATGCATCTATTCTGTTTCTTCGCTTAGAAATTGTAATGGCAGCCGAGTATATTATATGTTTTTCCTTTGACGCTTATGTGCTTTGATGGTCGGTTCGGCAATTTCGACATAATTAGAGACGAATATTTCCTGGTAAGAAACAGTCCAAACCAAAAGCTTTAAAGTTGAATTCACTTAAACGAAAGAATTTCATCGGTAACGTATTCATCAGCTTGGACTTTTCATTGGAATTGGAACATTTCATAACATTATTTACGTTCTTTCTTTACTTTTAGTGTCATTTAAAAACATTTTAAGAGCATTTTATTAATGATATTTTACGATGTTTTAGGTTCAAAACCCATCCCCGCATTAACCGTCTTTTTTTAATAAGGGAAGTAGCACATGTGCGCCACGTAGATTGGCGTAGGGCGAGGCGCCCTGGGCGACACCCCTGCGGGCTCCGGGCGGCGTTCGCGCCTCGACACGCCCCCTCCACAAGCCCATGGCGAGAAAAAAAACGTGCGCGAAACGCAAATATTGAATTTGTTTAAATTCTCGTGTAATCTGTTCGCCTTTCTTGTTTATCTCCCCGGAAGTCTCTGCTCTCCTCCTCTATCTGTTTCTCCTGCTCCATCTATGATGAGGCCTCCCCTCTCCCTTCGCGAGACGTTAAATCCTGGGCGCCGTATTTACATAACTTAATCTGCACGAAGGAGTTGCCTCTGTATGTCATTCACAATTCGCTCCTCCTCAGCGGATTTGCTCTTGAGATGTCGCGGCGCCTCTTTCAATTACGCCGCGTCTTTCGGCTTCCCCCCTCGCCCTCCGGCCCCCTCTCCTTCGTTCTTTCTCGTACGTCCCGCTCCGAGCTTCTGAAATAACTCGCGGCCGCACCACCGCGTTAGTTCCAAACTTCCGTAATCTGCCAGGTTTTGTGTTCCGGAAGTATTCCGCTGCCGTGCTATCGCTGCCGGCATTCCGGACGCAGCGAGTAACCTTCCCGCTGTGTTTATATATCTCTCCAGCGCCCAACCTTATTCTCGTTTATTGGTTCATTTAATTCCGATATCTTCAATTCCAATAACGCGCGCGCCAAGAATTGAATTTCCGCGAGGCGAGGCGAGGCGTGAGGCGTGGTGGGACGCCGGCTATTGATTCGCGCGCCGCGACTCTGGGCGACGCGACGCCCGACGACCCGCCCCGCCCCGCCCCGCGCCATTCATGGACCCGTGGGGAAAGGCCTCTCCAAGTTGGATATTTCGCCTCACACGCCTTAGTTCCCTAGAGCTCTAGGCTTAGCGTAGTCCACACTACAATAGAACCTCTGTATTCCGAACTAATTAGGGTGTGGTCTGTTGGTATTCGTAAATGTTCGGATTATCCTAAAAAATGTACTATACATATACAAATATGTGTATTGGTTGACCAGTCACAATTTAGTCTATCGTGCGATCTGAGAAAATGGCACTGTTACAAACAGCGGAGTACAGTTCGTACATAACCGATTGCATGCAGTAGTAGTTGCTATACATTTAGAAGAGATGAAGGAGTTAACGGCGCTGCTCTCAATTAGTATTCTACACACACCATTCAGAATTGGGATGAATTTCACTGTGTTCATAAATCAAGTTAATACAAACAGGTCTTTTTTGTTTATTTTTTCTTCCATCCCGATTTTGTTTCTGATTATCCGAAATTTCGGATTATCGGTGTTCTACTGTATTTGTTTTCTAGTATTTGCTCCGCGATTCTTCTGTTGTCGATTAATCACAGTGTAATGCCGATAATGGTGTGACTTATTATCTTCCAGGTAGTGAACAGTGAGATATGTAACAAAAATTGTATTTTAGGTTATGAGACAAGTTTCTATAAGTCTTGGATTCTCTCGTCACGGTCCGAGTTAACAATAAAACGGTGTTCGTACAACTTTCGGTTCTGTGCTTGGTTTCTAATATATGTGCATGCGTGCTTCCACCCTGCGCCCTTCCCTCTTCATGGAGCCGTGGGGAAAGGCCTCTCCAAGTTGGTTATTCCGCGTCGCATGCCGTAGTTCGCAAGAGCGCTAGGCTTGGCGTAGCCCACACTACTTGTTTTCTAGTGTTCACTCCGCGATTCTGTTGCTATCGATTAATCAATGGCTGAGAATCAGACTAGTCTAAGTTCATTTTACTAATTACTTTTCAGGAGCGTCACTTTGGTTTTGGTATGTAATGGGTAAGTATAGAATTGACTTTTGCATTCTAAGGAAGCGGAATATTAACAATTTTGCTTGATGGACACATGTAGACAGGGAGATACAACAATGAAACAGAAATCTCGTTTTGTTACAAAATTGAGTTTAGAAGTCTAGTTATCAGCCATCGTATTCGCACTATTATGCGGGTAATTGTTTCACTTAGTTTTCTTCCAGGCTGTGAATAGTTAGATAAGTAGTCAGAAATGTATTGTTAATTTCAACATGACTTTTACTGTACGTGAATGTGTGCGTACAAAATTAACAATCAATATTTAATTTTTGACTTCCTTATATTATACTTTGCAAATACTTTTCATTCAGAATTTCAAAAATTAAGTTCGTCATAATTGGAATAAACAAATTACAGGTTTCCATGAGGTAAAACTGGACAGTTTTACAGTGATATTTATTCTCCCCTATATCACGGCTGATTTAAACGGCCAGCTAATGCTTTGGATTTTCGTTGATAATTTGGATTTTCGTAGAGATAAGTTATACTAATACTTTATACTAAATTAGAATTGCTGTGAAATTATGTTGTTTCCTGTGTGAGTTGTCCATTGTCTTGTGATAATGCTGTCAGCAGGAGATGTTATCTATGTTGTTGTTTTCGAATTCATTTTTTACGTTCAGGGGAGGCGATTCTTGAAAGAGGAAGTTGCAGTTTGTGTATTAGAGATGGCACATGAGAGAAGGCACAGTGCCTCCTTTAAAACAACAAAATGATAAGAGATTGCACTAGAGAATTGTCGTTTTGAAAGAAGCTGATGCCTACGGAAACGCGATGAAATTTGTTCATGCCAGGAGATAAGTGCAGTTTTCATGCCTAGGCTATTAGCCTTTGTTGCATGTACGCAAGATCCTTATTTGAAAATCAGTTATATACGTATGATATTCAGAGTTGTTTGAGAATTGATTAATCACAACCAAATTACAGTGTCAAAAAATGGATTTCCTATTAAAAATATTCTTAATAAATATTCACTAGTACTTTTTTAAAATTTATTAAAGGGTGCTTTTTCACTTATTCTGTGCAATACTATCTTATGAACACGGTATTGATTAAATTCAATTGAATCCAAGTACAACGCTCTCTGACATTTGTCGGGTCAGTCGACGGACATTCTCTGAATTCAAATATATTGAAAGAGAAAAAGTAATGAGTTTAGAAGCAACTCGAATCAAGAAGAGCAAATGTTGTACCGAAATCAATATTACACATCTACGCAACACGAGACGACTGCCTATTTATAATTCTTCTTTAAATGCACGGTTGCTGGTATCAAATAATAATTGGGAGTAATTTTGTTTTCGAATAATTTCACTTGTTTGTATGTTTTCTTTTTGTGAACAAAACCTGCAGGAAAATCCGATTTACTCGTATGAAACCTGCGTAATTAAAGCCACAAAACGCATGCACATCATCATTTTATTTTATTTTCCCCCTGTTTTCCCCACTTTTTGTTTGTTTTCCTAATTTTGGTTTCTCCCGCAGGCGCCGGGCGCCCCGTGTCTGCTCGCCGCGGCTAGCCGCTTGGCAGCGCTGCAGTCGCGTCGGCTCGGGGTGGTTGAGGCTCTCGTCTCCACCCCTCGCTGGCATTCCTTGCGTCGGGGGAGTCTTTGCAAACGGAAGGATTATGCTTTGGGAATCGCCCTTTGGGACTGACAGCTAGCACGGCCGCGTAGTGCGCTGTTGCCATGCTGTGACGCGACTTCGCGTCTTTTCCATGGCATTCTACACATGCATTCTAGTGATGCGACATTGATGTACGCAACAAATAAAAACATCAATATTAATAAGACGTGGAACACAATACATCGATGTTTTTAAACACAGAGGTTTTTAAGCTGGTGTAATAAACTCTAACAGTACATTTGTTCGCAAGAAAAATTAATTTGACATATTTAGTATATTAATTTATAATTAAAATTCAACTTACAACAATTAAAAATGCCTTCTTGTGTGCAAAATACAAAAAATGACGAAAGGTATGAGGGTATCAGCATCATCTTGGGCGAGGAACAGTCTACTCAATGAAGGCAGTTCAAACCTGTTCCAGTGATTCGAACGCTTAAATATTTATTACCTCATATTTTTGACTCAGTTATTATTTCATATTTTAACTTTTACAAAATTGTTATTATGAGAAATTTTAATTCAGAAACAAAACACCGAAAACTTAAACACATCGGGCACAAAATATCGATGTTCAAAAAACATCGCTTTGAATACGTCGATGTTTAAAACTTCGATATTTTTATAGAAACATCGACGTTTTAATAAAATTGACATCGATGTCGCATTCTTAATGCACACGGCGCTTCTCAGAATAAAACATGGCAACACGTTACCTGCACGAATAAAGATCTTGTGGACCAGAAACAAATACTTTAATTACTTTTGACAAAATAGAAGTTCTTGGTCGTTTCCGAAGTTTATATCTTTATTTACATTGATGATTGGGAAAAAATAGGAATGGGTGTAAAAAGAAATTATCCGCTAAATAACCTTACTTTTGTAATCACTCATCATGTGTACACCAATCCATGACGCCGACTGGGGTGGGTGGTTCTACCGCATACCCTATCTACTGGCTCAGTGCGTGTTTTCTCCGTGAGTACGCCGTGGTCAGGTCTAGAAGTAGTTGCACAGGAAGATCTCCCGCAGGATAGCTGTTCCCTCTCCCTTTACAACACGTTTTCGACTTCCGGGCCAATACTCGACAACATAAAATCAAAGCATACACAATAAATACTTACCTGACCTTGTCCATTCAAGTTTCTATTTTTATATCATTCGTTTATTCATCGCATTTTTCGCGATTCACCAAATCGAGTTCAGCCACAAGAGGTGTTCCAAAGCGTGATTTTTCCACTGCAGTGTCAAAGTCCTGTCTCTGCAACAGCTGCTCGCTGCGACTCAGCTTCCCTTGCCCGAATGACGTTCCTGATTAAACTGACCGATGCAAACGGGCGGGAATAATTTGTTTTGCTTTGTTAGACGGTTCTTTGACCGAGATTTGCATATGAATTGTCATTTCATATCAACGTGCCGCGAATATTACAACCTGACATGAAACGCACTGTATTGTCGTTCACCATTTATATCCTATAACTAATTTTTTCGTTTGATCATGAAATAAATGAAGTCAGCGAAACTTTGTATGAAATTTAATATATAGCTGAATATGCTACATACGTTATATATAATTTGCATGAAAACTCTTGAAATCCGTTATTTGTATTTTTGCGTAAATTTTACGGTTATTTAGAGTTTGCTTACAGTCGTGCGTTGAACGTTTGTGTGCGTAAACAACTAAAAAGAACAAAACGAAGCTTGTAAGTGAAGTAGAATTCTGCAGATATGTTAAATATGAACACATTAAAAGGTAGAAGTGTCATAGGATAGTTCAAACAAAAGTAATTGGCAACCACAAAATTTATTGTTGAATTGAAAGTTTTTAAGTTTGAGTGTTTGGAAGTCTGCAAAACATTGTACGCACCTTTTCAATAATTAAAAAATAATATATGTTTTTCACAAACACTCTTGACTTTACTGAACTTGTACAATGATCTTGTAGACGGCCAATGATTTGAAGGAGTAGCAGCGGAAGAATATTTACCTTTCCGTTTCTCATCCCTCCCACTCATCCGAGTCGCTGTCGAGTCTCACTGAGCAGAGACAAGGAAATTAGTCTTATATTAGCTTAGTTGATTAAATGAGCGCTGGAGTCGGAGCAGATGTCTCTGTTGACTCCGCATCCGACAAACGGACGACGCAAGGATGCCGTCGAGGCTGGACGAGGGCCGTCCTTACAGGTAGACGGAAGGGTTCTAGGGAATAATCGAACTGTCGGTTTTTGCAAATTCAAATAGTTTGCATTATTCTCGAACAGATGGGTTTTATTTCATGACAATAAGACAAATATTTTTTGAGTTGTGTTCTTCTTTTTAATTTTTGACGTCTTGAACGTTTTGAACCTCTAATAAACCATGGAGCTGGTTTCGAATTCAGAACATTGATTTATGTATGTAACAGGTTTTTCATTGTAGGGTTGAAATAATATTGTTTAGTTTAAGCTTAATGTCGTAAAAGAATGCCGATGGATTCGTGTAGCACAGTTTCTTCATTTCAGGATGTTCTAAGTAATAGTTCTATACATTATGCAATTGAGTATATCCTATAATCTTACTTTTGTCCAAATTATTTCTTTCTATATTTCGGTACAAAATAATTCTAGTACTTCTAGTAATTGAAAATGTTTCTCTATAATTTTAGTTATTCTTGTAAAGAAAACAGTGCACTTTCAAAACTTTAAATTTTTTCATACTTTCTTGAGGTCAAGAATGTTAAAAATTAGACATTCAATAAGACAAATAAAAATGTTTTTAATAAACTACAAAAGCTCGGAACCTGTACTTTATCAACGAAAGATATCTCTCTTTGAATCACAAACAAAGAATTTCAGTATTTTTAAAAAAGAAATGAATCAAAATATTTAGACGATTTACATGAATTTAAATGGGGTATTCAAGAACCTTTCGTCTACCTTTAAGAGAATCTCCTGCTATGAAATTGCTGGAGAAACATATCTAGCCGAAAACTATAGTTATTAACCATTGTGCCTTTTTGTGGAGGAATGAAATGTAAATAGATTTTTTCAAGGTATTGGGATTTTCTGTTAATTTACTATATAATATTTGATTTGAAAATTGATTTATTCTTTCTGCTTATAATTTACTGTATACATTCTTTCACTTAATATTTTACATTATAATCATATTAATTGTAAACTAATTATCTCTATGGTTTGTGTTTTCACTAACAATCTTTAGTTAATAAAATAATCTAACGCATAATCTGTTAATTTTATTGTTTTTGGTACCAGCTTCCTCTTTTCCTGTTGTCACTACATAGTTCCACTTCGTACCGGGTGACAGAGAATAATGTAGAAGTATGATATGGCATTTATATACACATTCTACATTTGCCACACATAAACTACGGTCACAACATTATCATTTTGTTGCAATACCATAACCACAACGATTTCTCAAAAACTTTCCAGGATGAGAAACTTTGCTGAGACTCCTTATTTAATTTAAAAGGAATCAGGAAAATGATGAATGTTGATGTTTATGCAAACAATTAAAATTATTAAAAAATAATCAATATAAAACAAATCCTTTCATTAATATATAGCCAAATATACCTAACAAAAAAACAAAACTGAATTATGTCGTTTATATTATGTTTTGATTTTTGAAATTCTGAAAGTTGCCTAAAAATGGTAATAAACGAGATGACATAATAGTAGTGTTTGGTTTGGATTTTTTGTGTGATCTTATATGTTATTTGAATAAAGAAATTTTGCCTTGTTAGCCCTTCGATACGTAATAAGGCCCTTCGTATTCCACAAGTCTTTGTTTACGTAATTCCACTTTGTAAGTTATGAATCGACAAAGGATTGTGCTCATTTCATTTAAATTCACTCTACAATTACACAAAATAAAAATTATTATCTTTTTATTTCCATAGAATATGAGTGCAGCTAACGGGTAATGTAAGCCTCTGAATCTATCGTCGTATATTATGTAACGGGTTTACAATATTAAGCTTTATTGCATAAGTACATTTTTTTCAAAAGTGTCGTTAAAAGAGAGTTTTCAAATTTGAATGAACGCAATAAAGCAACATGAGTTACATACGTTTCTTTTTGTTTAACTGCGTTCTAAACTTATGAGAGAATCAAAGTTTAGAAGCAAATGTAGTGTGCCGTCACGGGTATTTGACATTGTGCGAAAAAACGAGTTTGGCTGTTCCGTTTGCCACTACGTCCCCGCAATTCTCTCTCTGCGACTGGCCGAATGTGTGATAACGTCACAATATGTGGCATAAGATCTCATTTTATGAAAGATGTGTTGTAAGGAAAAATATCGTTTATAATACTAGAATGTACATAAAATTCATATTATTTCAAAATTCCAACGCTGCCCCCGTAGACACTGCAAATGTCCAGGGGATTGGAGTCCTGCTTATCTACGTTCGTCTGGATGTACCAAACTCGAACTCTAAAAATATGAAAATTTTCTCGTAAATTAGGATTCACAAGTTTGGCGCTCTCTTACACTTTCAATATGTAAAATAAATGCTGTTATTATCATTAATAGTAAATAAACAGTGAATCACTGCAAATAAAAAGGTTCGATGTTATATGTTCTGACATATGACGATATATGTTATTGGCCGGTTTGGTTCATAGTGGGAAACTGTACTTAAAATATAAATTCAACTTTCCATGCATAATAGTTTGTTGTCTGTGACTTCTGTGATGCCTGTAGAGTTCCCTTCAAAATTCTTCAAAATGTGAAGCTCCTGGGCATCGAACGTTTTGGTTTTCTTCGATTAAAATGCAGTACAGTCAATCTCATGTGAAGTAGAGATAAAAGTATGATGTGGACATATGAAGTGTATTTCGGAGGCCTGAGGTGTTCAGAACACCTAGCAGGGAGTGTCCCAGAGTGACAGCGCGGCGGGGTCGTGCGCGCAGCGAACTTCTCTGAGATACCTATGCAAGTTGGGGGCGGGGCTTCCTTGACAAGTTGGCGCGTGCCCGCAAACTCGGGATATTTGTCGTGGCCTCGCATGAAGAGCAGACATCGTCACTTCATTACTGGGTCCCCATCAGAAGTTGGCGGCGCGCGGGGCGGGGAAAGCGGCGAGGCGCTTCCTACTTTGACCCAGTTTCATCCCCTTTAAGGTGCACGTTAGCCCTGGAGCAGAATGCTCGATAGCCGCGAGGCAAAATGCACTGAACGAGGTCCCTTTTTGACGCTGGAAATATTCGCGTTCTATCTTTCTTCTCGCCCTCTTTTACTTTCTGTCTACCAGGCGAATGTCCGAGCAGTACTCTAATAACCGAGTCACGGACACTGCGATCTTCCCTTCCTCTTCCTTGCCCTATAGTTTCT